CTCTCCATTTCTCATTAAATACTAGCAAGATTGATTTTAAAAACAATTGACTTTTAATTCAAGGGAAATTTACAAATGATGGCCTTTTTCAATTACTATTTTAATTTAGTCGGTTTAATTGTAAGAATAGATCTATCTGTAATGCCGACACATTGGAGGACATTCCGTTAATTCGCGGAACATGACAGCCAATCACGAGTCATATGCTCTACGTGTTCAATGGTAATTATGAGTTTCGATATGTTGTAGTTCATCAGCAGTGATACAAATTTGTTGTTAATAGAAAGGGTATTTATTGTAGTGTTGTAGATGGAGTCGATGAGAGCACAAAGGCAAACTGATTACAAACAATTGCCGGTTGGTTAGTAGATTCTACATATAGCTCCTACACATTATTCTAAAAACATACACACATCTATATGATTGTGTGTATATTTAGCAAGTACTACATTATTAGCGTAAATCTATCAGTGTATTACGTAACAGCTCTTCTGCTATTCACGCATACAAAATATCCTATAATTGTCGTTGTTAAATCAAACAACCACCGAACAAGGTACACACACGGATGGGGAGCTCTAGTGGATTTCTATGGTTAGATGATGTTATGTTTAAAGATATACATACATGACTGGAGCTAAACGTGAATCAGCGTCGGGTATTGCTTATTGAAAAGGGGAATCGGGGTTTACTGGCGGACGGACCACCTAAAGGGGTCGTCTGTCCTGCTCTAGTTAGTACAGCTGCGCTTTGGGGTGTGCAGAGTGTGCAGAGTGAGAATAAGCAGGACAGAGATAAAGAGAAAGAGGTGTGTGTATAACGAGGGTTATAAAGGTACAGTGGTGGTGAATTCCAAACGGGCGTTTATTAGTGTCCAATTGTATCAAGAGACACGGCAGAGTCGAGTAACAACACGAATAGAGTATATATAGAGTAGAGAGACGAAACTATATACTATAGTATGTAGATTGCGCGGCGTGAACTCGCTCATTTGCGTGGCTGTTAATTTGCTGGCGCTCCCGCAGTATGCCGCCGTGAGAACCGCAGAGGGACGCTAGAGCGCGCTTATTTTATCTTTCTCGCACGTACTAAATCGTTCTCTCCCACTTGTATTTCGTCTATTCAGATTATATTCCTGTCTGTCTCTTTGCGCCGCGCACCCTTTGTCTGCCTACAGGCTCTATCTGTCTCAATACAATGTGCCAATTTCCCAACTCCCTTTCCACCCTGACTTGCCTCCTAGAACTGTAACTGCTTGTACGCACGAGGCTTTCCAATAACATTATCACGCTATAAACGGATAAAATTTATAAATATATATCTATATCTGTATATGACTAAAGATTTGCATAAGGATTTTATTATTCCGGGCGAAATATTTTTACTCGATACGTGACATGAGTTTGCCGAATAAAACAATCGGTTAGTGAGGGTAAAGCCAAGGCGGGAAAATTTGAATAAAATTTAAATTTGTTTATCGGCGAAAGTATGTCGGGAAAAAAAAAAAATAAAAAATAAACGTATGACGTGATGGTTGGACGGGTTCTATGTTCTACTATACATCCCTTTATACTAATTCACCGGTTTGACGTTTAGGTTTAGTATTTGCATTTGCATTTAGCATACGCTTTGAATAGCTCGGTTCCTAACGATTTTCACAGTCCTAAGACTTAGTAACACTGGCACCACCATCAGCCATCAACCATCAGCAGTTACTAGCATGCATGTAAATTGCTCGCGTGATCTCGTCGCGCATAACGTCAAGAACTGAGTTTACCCTAGCGGGAGGGCAAATCGCTTCTGGTTTCATGTTTATACAATATATTTTCAGTATATACATTGTGGAAAGTAAACCCAGAGGCAAGTTAGATATATTCTATATATGTACTACCGGTGGGTGCTTTGTATGCTTAACTTAACTTGCTGGAAATCGGGTTATATATGCTCATATATATGATGTAAGCGAGTGAGAAACAGGAGATTGCCTCTGACTGTGATATCCTGCTGGTTTATGTACGATGTTCCAATAATTAACGCTTACTTTACACTAAAATATATACATATATTTCAAAGTTCTGTATTATTTAGTGCCTGCAAAAATACACTCTTGTTAATGCTCAGATAATTAGTTTAATAAATACTTGACATGTGAAATAATAACCTCTGTGTGTTGAGAGATATAATCTATTTTTTTTTTTTTATATAAATTATAAATTACCGGCTGTAACATTATTGTTGTACTTAATCAATTTCATACACATATAAGAGTATAAAAATCTAAATATAAATATTTTTTCCCATCTCTATCTCAGTTATAATAATAATCTCTGGAGAACGGATGTTTCGATTTAAAATGACTGTATATATATGTGGGCTGAAGATAATGACGAGTCTGTCGAGGGAAGATTAGACACGACGCGAAGATAGAAAAGTCCGTCACGAAGTCTCGTGGGTAAAGTTGAATAGATGGTTGAATTGACTCGTTATAATCGTGACTCATGACTATCTCACGAGTAATAACAACAACAACAATAATAATAATAATAATAATAATGATAATAATAGATAAATAAAAAATTTACAACAGAGACGGAGTAATAGTATGTAGCCACGAGGCATGAAGGTACTAATTATTAGGATACAAAGCCGCTATTAGACGTGCAATTTAAATCCTCGATCCTCGGTTCGTTATTCTCCAGTCAGATGCGCTACACGCTTACGTCTCTAGCTGATAGAACGGAATTCATCTGACGAAATTATTAAGCGGCAGTGTTGGAGTATTATTTTAAAAACTAACATGTGCTTAATGACTGACTGGCTATCGTGTGATGGAAATATCTTTTTGTTTGGTAAATTAATGCGCTTTTCCACTCGTGTTTGCTTTGAATTAATTATTTGCACCAATAATAACTTTCCCATGATTGGGATCATTATGATATTGATCAGTTAGTAATAATATAATGAATAGTTGTGAATTAAAATGATTGAAAAAGGGAATAATGATGGAATTATCGTTTGAATAGAATATATTTCAATGAGAAATGAATGGATAAAGCTAGACGAATTATATCACTGATCCATAAGCCAATACAATCATCTGCTGGCGTGTATACGCTTTTACCAATCGTTTTACACGACAATCAACGACTATATAAATTACGAATATATATTTTGGGTGTCGGCTGTCGGTTGTCGGGTCTCTGCTGCCCGAATTATACGTAAATGTGCAATCGTAATTGACGCGTTTAATATTTTGAAACTAAATGAAAATGGTGAATAAATACCCTCGAATATTTATACACCCAACACACATGTATGATATTTTACGTCCGACAAAATAGTCTATCTCTTTTTCCCCCGTGGTTAAAAACCACTTCCGCTTGCTATTTTCGCATATGACATTGCCATACAAATATATCTACACAGGCAGAATGTAGAACGGTGTGGAGCAGAGGCCAGATCAAATTCGCTGCATGTAGTCTGTACTTGGATATACTCGCATATTCAAAATGTATACAGAGATAGGAGTGTAGAGTAGACGAGAGGCTGGTATTATAATAACATTTTATCAATAAACCACCGCCGAGGTATTTCCACTATTCTGGGTGTGCGCTATATTGGAATGATGCTGATTCGTTCTACACATATGAATCCCATCGCTGGTAATTATCTACTAGATGAACAAATCACACCATTTTGACCACATATTATGTATGTGTGTGTATTATGCTGAGAGCCAATTTATCGTTTCAAATTAATCTCGATTGGATTTCATTAGGATTCATCTACATCTACTCTATCACTCTATTCACTTTTAACTCTCTGTTTTTAGACTAGACTGAATTATTGTACGGTAAATATTATTCTAAATGAGGGAGAATATTTTTCGACTTATTTATGCTGATTCCGGGTAAATAGGTTTATATTAATGGGCTTGATGGTTATTGTACAGTTTGGGATTTATTATTATTAATCAAAAGCGGAAATATTTCTTCCATGATCTATTTACTCATTGCTAGTTCAATAAATTGCGTCAGTGAGTATATAATGTCCTATAGTATATTACACTATTAGGGCAGAAAGTTTGAGATTTCTGCACGGCGCAGAAATCTCAAACTTTTTGCCCGTGTAGTGTATTAGTATTTTTTTTTATCTAGGGCAGGAAAATAAGAAATGTCTCAGATTACATGTAATTGTTGACCGAGGCGAAGCCGAGGTCGACAAACATGTGATCTGAGGCTTTCTTATTTCCTGCCCGTGGTGAGAATACTATTTTTCTCCTCGACGGAGGCGGAAAGTGGCATTTTCGTTTAGCACAGCGGGCGGAAAATTGACGCTTTCCGCACGGAGGGGAGAAAATAATATTTTCTTTTTACACGAAAAAAAAAAAAATTGGGGCTGCCATGATACATTCCTGTGGCAGCCCCATGATTTTTTCATGTGGCTGCAACATGATTTTCATGTGACTGCCACATGATTTTCCTGTGGCAGCCACATGTTTTTTTCCATATAGCTGCCACATGATTTTCCTGTGACAGCAGCATGACTTTCATGAGGCAGGCAATAATATTTAAAACAGCAATAATAATTATCATAATAATAATAATAATCTATATTATTAAGAGAATAAGAAAAATTTTGTGGCCAGTGCATTTATATGATAAAATGGGTTTTTATGGTTGAGTTTGGTATCATTAGAAAGGTCTTGACCTGGAGTTGTGCCTTTTCAAGGTTTCATATCATTCTCACCAATAGTCAATAGTGTTATATATATATATATATATATATATATATATATTATTTAAATAAAGCATTTTATGCTCCCGCTGTTATAGAGGGCGAATGTGTAGCTTTACCAATGCACGAATCTTTAACTTTCTGCCTCGAAATCGGTGCAAAAGATGCGTACTTTCGACCGAGGTATAAAGAAAAAATATTTATAGTAATTTTAGATAATAAAATTAGTCAAAAAAATGGATATTTAATTTTTAAAAAATATTTTAACAATACTAAAATTATTTATCAAGTAAATATTGATTTAGGATGTGGAAAGAAATAGGAAAAAAATTTTTTAAGTGTTAAAATTGTTTATTTTCGTTAAAATCTTTCGTTTACTCGGTATCATACAGTAAACAATACACGTGAAACAAATTTATAATATTTACATTTATAAAATAAGAAAAAAGAGATTGGTATTTTATTTATTTATCCACCTTATAACGTATAAAAATATGACAGTATGTGTAACGTTTATATATATATATATATATATATACAATGTGTACACTAAGTAACAACGTTATTGTTATATCATTTTATTAATAATTTTATAATTAATTTTTTTTATTAATATTAAAACTATTTAAATGTAAAGTTTATTTTAACTATAATTTGAAAAAAAGATTTATCGTAGAAACAAAATCCAACAATTGCTAAAATATAAATAAAATTTTCTTATTATGTTTAAGTGATCTTAAATTGATCGTAATTCCTATTACGTGAATTATTTTGTAGGAGTGTGTGTAATCCCACACTAAATACCCAGTGTGGGAATACCCACACCACATCATTAAATCTTAAATTTAAACATCAGCGTTTAAATTTAAGTTTAAATTCAGATAAAAAAATCTAAATGTGTAATTAAAGTAAAGGTAAATTAAATCTCACAATGATTTAATTTTAATTTATATATTAATGCAAATTGCCGTTAACCTTATTTAAATGTTTATTAAAGTAATTATCATTTTAATACTAAAACTTTTCACAGAACGCTTCACTATCATCCTGCCGACAACAATAACAAACTTTAATTAAAAATATATTTACAATGACATAAAGGCAAACGTAACTGTCGCGTCGATTAAAATTTAAAACTTTTAAAATAATAATCCTAGAATTAAATATAATTTTATAAATAATTGTTATTATTATTAATACATGACTTCATATACAGTTGCTTTTTTGTCACCCGAACCGGTAACGATGTATTTGTCATCAGCAGAAATGTCACAGCTCAATACTGACGATGATTCCTTTGACTGAAATTACAAACAAATTATTTTAATTGACACTCAAGCCCGATCAAAAATTTTTCATTCAAATATTATTATTTATTATTTATTTTGCTTTCACCGGTGAATTTTAATTGATAATGAACGTGGAAAACTATCATCAAAGCCGAGCTTAATATTCTGTAGGTTTAATTTAACCAAGTTGGGCTCTATCGACTCCAAACATTACCGTTTTATCGATATATCAATGTTGTCAAATAAAACGAACGTTAAATGGGCGAGCGATACTAATACTAATATAAATATAAATATTAATTCGCTTGTACGTTTTAATCTGGCGTATTGTAAATTGTAAATAGAATTTATGATATATGTATCAAGCACTCTGCTTGCAACATAACGTGGGTCGAGGAACATGCATGTAAACATGAATGCATGAGCATTCACTCAAGGACGTAATTGTGCAGAAATGAGGACGCTTAATGCTTTGCCCTCTTGACCAAATTTTCATTATATTCCGATACAATATAATTAATTTTTTTTTCTTAATATGCATTTAAGGTGATTGTTTGTTTATAAATATGAATATAAATTTTAGTTTCACGTACAAGTGAATTTTTGTTTTTTGATTGTGAATATTAGGTTGTTAATTTTTTTTACTTTATTTTACAAAAAGTACCGTTCAGATTTTAATAAAAATTAATATTAATACAATTAAAGTATGTGATAGTATGACATCAAAGTTAGCAGTCACTAGAGAATTTTTTATTTTTTTTTTACCAAACAAATTTGTTCAAAAAAACTTTTTTTTTTAAAATTGCATTTTTTATTTTTTTGAAATTTCCACATGTCAATTTTTTTTATCATAATTAAAAAAAAAACATTAAGGGGGGCGATACATGTAATCGCCTTAATTTCTACCGTTTTCTGAGGATTTTTTTAATCGAGAAGGAATGAATGAACCATTTTGGAATTTTGTAGGATTATTTATTATATATTGAAGTACAGAAAAAAATTTTTTTCTTATTTTTTTTTTTTCAAAATAGCCGCCGTAAAAATGAATCTGCCGAGACCCTCTCGAAAAAAGATATTAATTTTCGGGTGTTCTAACTTTTCGTACGGTGATTTTAAATTAAAAAAATTAGTTTGTACGTGTTCTTAAAAAATATATCTTCTAGTTAAACCAATAAAAAAATCAAAAAGTCAAAAAATCGTAAATTGGCACACCTCAGAAAAAAAAGTTTGATTTTTTATCCTTTTTTTCAATAGTTTTTTGGTAAAAAGGATTCATTTTTGTAAATTTTTTTGGAATGTTAGAGGTTTAACTAAAAGCTATTACTATAAAGTAGACGTGTAAAAAATTTCATTGGAATCGGTTGAGAACTTTTTGAGTTATCCCGCCCGCAAATTTAAAAAAAGTCGTTTCGAGAAAAACGCGTTTAGATTCAGAGCCGACTGTTGCGATACTATAAGCGCTGAACACTTTAACGAATTATAACTTACAAAATAATGCGAATTTATATCTAAAAATTCTCAAGCATATTTTTTGGGTATTATAGTAACTATTAATGCAAAAAAAAAAAATTTGATTTTTAAAAAATATTTCATGTATCGCCCCTTAAATAATCTGCTAAATTTATTTTCATTGTGATAGTATCAATTTATAAAAAACTTATTTGTTTTTTTCTGCTACGTAAATCAAATGAGACTTTGTATTCGACATTTGACTCTTACAGTATCAAGAGTACTATCTTGAAAATACAAAAAATATTGTGATTGCCGAGGAATTTTTTTCAACCTCCAAAAACTGAGCAAATAAATAAATGATAAAAGTAGTATAAAAAGAAGACTGACCTGGAATATGGAGGCACCATAAGGCGTACGCCAAGCGTTAAGTAGATTGTCTTTGCCGGTGGAGACGAACCACTTCCCACAAGAGGCGAATCTAAGTGACAGAACACAAGACTCGTGGAGATGAAGCTGGTACTTGTCGGGTTTGTTCGCGTGGAGGACCTCGACGTTAGAGTTCTCCATTCCAACCGCGAGCCACTCTCCGGTGGGGCAGTACCCCAGTGAGAATATCTGGGAGGTAAAGTCGTGCTGCTGGAGCTGTCTGCCCTCTCTGAGGTCCCAAGACCTCACGGTGTTGTCAAGCCCGCCGGTCCAGAGCTTCGACCCATCTGCGGAGATGTCTATGCAGGAGGCGCCGTCTGTGTGTCCCTGGAACTGCCTGACGAGTGTCTGGTTCTGGAGATCCCAGACGGCGATGTTTCCGTCACTGCAGCAGCTGAAGCAGACCTTTGAGTCTGGAGATATCGCGAGAGCGTAGCAGGCTGGCGCAGCAGACGTCAATTCGGCCTTTATCCTCGGTGTGGGACTCGCCAGGTCCCAGATACTGAGTTGGCTGGCCTCACCTCCGACGATGAGCGTTCTTCCGTCGGGGAGGAGCTTGACCGACCTGATGTAGTTGTCGCGCTGGAGGCAGTCCAGCTGGGAGACTGGATTAAGACCGGTGCTGCGGCCTCCCTGACCAATGTCCCAGACTTTGACACAGCCCTTGCCCCCAGTGTAAACGTACTTGGTGGGGTTTGAGATGGTTACGGCGCATACAACCTCGCCGTGAGTGAGAGTGTTTATCTGACGCGCGTGCCGTGGTATTCCCGGTCCGACAAGCGCATCAGGTGGAAATGGCACGGGCTGCATTTGACCCTCGCTTGGCACGTGGAAGCTGTAAGCTCTACATTAACCAAACAACACACGTACATTACTACCCATTAGTCGCGCAAATATCATTTCAAATGTCATTTAATAAATCAACATATTCATTTATTTTTTTTATTAATAATCTGATTTGTTTGTTTGTAAATTTTTTTAGAGACAAACAAATCAGTTGAGGCTATTGACTGGCAATCAGTGTAGCTTCTAGATTGTTCAAGATTACTCGACTTTGTTCGACTTATTCACAACATGTTTTGGGACTGTCAAGACTGATCGACTTTGCTCAACTTGATCGGTGATTGCTAGTCAATAACCTTTATCGATTATTTGTTTATAAATTTCCATCGCTATCAATGTAATTTTGTAGTTTATATTTTTATTAAAAAAAAAATCGACTTTATTAAAGAGAAAAATTAGAAAAAAAAATAAAATTTACTTGATTCAAAATAATTTTCTCGGATGAAAAGTTAATTTTTTTCTTTAGCGTACAAATTTAGTATCAACAACCGAGAAAAATATTAGTAGATCATAAAAAAAAAAAAAAAAACTTACGGTTTGCCTCCATGAACTCCAACAGCACCAGCGGGTGCCCTGATGGCATTATGAGGATCGTAGAGCTGCTGAAGCGAAGGTGGTCCCCGTGGCGCGGCGTATCCATTGTAGCCCATCATGTCTACATGAGGATGGAGCCCCGCGGGTGGGAGATGATGCGGAGGAGGTCCCGGAGGATAATGCGAGGGGTAACCTCCAGAAACTCCCTGGGGTGGTGGTCCTTGGAGAAGCTTGCTCGAGCTCGTGGCCTTTACACCCCCCGAGGCTGAGGTCGGCGTCATTGGCTTTGAAATCGGCGTCGTCGGTTTTTCGCGCTCCTCCATCTTCTTCGCGGAGGGCGTGCTTGCGTTGCTGCTCGTTCCGCTCCTGGGAGAGTGAGGTGGAATGTCTTTTTTAACTTGGGCGTTTGAATTCATCGAGGAAACCTTCTCGAGGCCGTTTTCCCGCGGCGACGTGGTTCCGTTTACTACAGGGCTCGTTGGTTCTTCACTCGCGTCGTCGACTACCAAATCTTGGTCACTTTTTTCACCGTCACTCTGTTGTCAAAAATTATAAATTAAATGAAATAGTTTTATTAAAATTTTAATTACAGAAAACTTTTAAATATACAAAAATAAATTTTAATTATAAAAAATATTGATGAGATTTTTTTTAAATTTAATTGATCAACTTTCAATAAATTGTTTTTTAATATATTTTCATTAAATAAATAATAATAATAATAATAATAATAATAATAATAATAATAATAAATATTTTTTAATTGTTAATAAAAAATTAATTTGGAACTTTGAATAAAAAATAAGAGTTAAAATTTTATTTTGTACTTCATTACTTGAACAAATAAAAATTTCAAGAGATTTAATAAATTGTTAATAGTATTTTTTTAATAAAAATAAATGAATTAATTAACAATTAAAAATTCTATCAGCGAAAAAAAAAGTAAATAAATTAATAACTAACATGTCCAATATCCTTATCCTGTTCTTTTTTCATTTTTTTTATATGCAGCGGATGGTCGTGGTGGTTCTGTGAATGTCCGTGATGTGAATCTTGGGGTGTTCTTGGTCTGCTGTATTTATCGCCTGGCGATATCGAGCTTCGCTGCAAAAAACAACCACATTATAAATTATTTATAATTTATTCAAAATCAATTAAAACACCGACTACCGAATACCGGGCAACTATGAATAATAAATTCCTCAATCAAAGTGATACCAAAACTGAGCCAGAAAAAGAGCTGAGTTATTAAAATGCAATCCATTACCGTTCGCGTGTATCACAATCCAAAATAACTAATTGCATTTATATTTATATAATATAGATATTATTCATATACTGCAGACTTATTAATTTTCAGTCACAGTTTTATCGCACTAGAATTTAATTTTCGCACGCAAGCGCGCGCCTTGACTATAGAGTTTACATATATTTTTATGCTTATGATATATTCGACCAATCACGTTACGAATAGTTTGATGCCACATACATTTCATCTCAATTTTATATTAGGATATTATTCCGACTTTATTATAATTACGTAATTAATAATCACTTTGATGTACTAATTACTGAAATTGATTTTCTTTTCAACTAGCAAGGTTGTGCTTCTACACTCTGTACCTGCGTTATATATGTGCAAGGACGTGAATGTGTATTTATGCATCTCAATTATTGTACATAATGCGGCGAGTTGAATTTAGTTGTAATTGCGTTGATTGCCGATTGAAATTTACGCAGTGAACTGTGCTAGTACTCAATGTGAATGTTACATTACTATTACGTATATATATTATAATTGCTATGTGAAGAGTATTCGTTACAGAGAAAGTGAGATATGGAATATTAATGAGTTATTTAATTGATATAGTTATATAGTATGTATAATTAAATAGATAACGCGATAAATCGCAAGTTTATTAGAATCGCTTGCAATAATTAAATAATTGTTATGGATTAATTATAATTATTAATATTTAATTAATTGATACGAGGATGAGAATGAAAATTAATCAGTTAGTCGATTGAAATTTCCATACTAGTAAAAAGGTTAGCTTGACTCGAGAAAAAAATTCTTGAACCAAGATTGCAACAAAGAAAAAAATAAATTTATTGAAGAAAAAATTTTTTTTAAAACAAGATTTTTTTTTTCTTGACTCTAAAAATTTATTGTTTTGCTTATTATAAAATTGTTTCTCTCGAGTGATATGAAGCTAACCTTTCTATCAGTGCATCATTAGATTATTAAGATCGACTATTGTGTAAATATAAAGAATATTTTTCGACAATATTCGGTTGGAATATGATGTAATAAAAGGAATAAAAAAATGGAGGTACGGTGATTACAGAGTCGAGTGTTGTGTGTAAAAGTACAAGTATAAGTACCGAGTTTTATAACGGCGACGCAGCATGAGTGTGCTGAGATAAAAATAGTGTGGGGTTGACGGGGAATAAAAGAGCACGCGATGAGAATTTTAGGGCGGAAAGGAAGACAAAAGGGTGTCGAGATACAAGAGGGAATTGCCAAAGGGAACCCGGAGGAGTATTAACAGAAAGAGGAGAAAGATAAAGAGAAAGAGAGAAAATAAATATAAGAGGTTGAGATACTGAGTGAAGTGCAAGAGGATGAAATAAAATGGGGAAAGAATGAGAGGGCGTCGATGGGCGGTTACGCGGTTCTACGATGATTACAGAGTTGGCAAACCTATAATACTCATCCTCGCCTTCACTTTACTTGTTCGTGTGTCGCTCGAGGCTATTCTCTCACCCCTATATATCTACTGCTCGCTTCTTCTTCTTTAGACTTCAGACTTACAACCCTGGAACCTCTTTCTTTTCATTTTCGCTTTATTTATACTTGTTGTTATTGTTATTGTTATTATATATTATATTACGCTTATTCTTTCGGTGTAGCCTCCTCGAACGCCTCCTACGCCATTTATAGAACCGCGGACGTAAATCGCGAGCGTCATTTACTTTTAAAGATTCACTTTTCATTTTTCGTCTTTAAAAAAAAAAAGTAATCTGGTATTTGCCTATTTTAATAATTTATAAAAGAAAAAGACTACTCACGTGTCGTTCCTCTGTCGAACTGAGCCCTGCAACAAAAACAGAGGTCTGGGTTAGTACGGAATAATTTTAATCAACTATTTTTTTTATAGTTGTAATGACAATTTTTTTTAAATATCTCATACACTGATAGAAAAATTAACTTGACTCAAGAGCCAAAATCTTGAACCAAGAATACAATTTTGAAGAAAATGATTTTCTTGAGTCAAAATAATAAATTCTTGAGAAAAGTAGAATTTACTTAAATCAAGAAGAATTTCTTGACTCATGAGTTTACTCTCTTGACTCAAAACCATTTTCTTCGCCAAAATCTTGAACCAAGAATACAATTTTGAAGAAAATGATTTTCTTGAGTCAAAATAATAAATTCTTGAGAAAAGTAGAATTTACTTAAATCAAGAAGAATTTCTTGACTCATGAGTTTACTCTCTTGACTCAAAACCATTTTCTTCAAAATGGTATTCTGGGTTCAAGATTTTGGCTCTTGAGTCAAGTTAATTTTTTTATCAGTGTAGAAAATGTCTTAAAAAATTTGTAAATTCCAAAATTGGCGAATAATATTCATAAAAAATATCACTTGACAAAAAGAGAATTGATTGATTTAACAATAAAAATTTAGTGTAAAAATATGAGTAAGTTTTAGCGAAACATGTTTACAAAAAAAAACATCAATCATTTAACAGACAGAGATTAATAATAAAAAATCAATTATGTTTGTCGCGGTGACTTTAGTCGATGTACAAACCGGAATGGATATATATGTATATATATTTTATCATGAGTTTTTGGTGTATTTATTATTCTCTGGTGAACAACGATGACAATATGGCGTCGACAGCGCATGGATGCGTCAGTAACGGCGAGAATACCAATAACGATGGTGTACACGCCCGTCAGTGCCTGTATAAATGATCTTCATGCATATTTATGCCCGCGATTTTCACAAAACCATCCGTACGTTATAATCCCTCTCTTCTCCCTTGGCGTAAATATATACATACATACATACATACACACATAAATGATCCACACAAGTGAAGGGTGTTCGCTAACACAGCTTGGCGGCAAACACGCTTCGAAAGCGGATATCGCTTTGAAAATTTCCACCTGAACGTGCTTTTTACTTTTTCCCTTTTTTTCCTCGGTTCTCTACTGTTCTCGCCGGTCGCGCTTTTTTTCCCACTCACCCTCGGCATGCGCCCTTCCTCTTCAACCCCTTTATACGGGTACGTACGTATATAAATTTTTTTATTCATTGAATCCCCTTCCAGCGGCGGGTGGGCTCTGATCGATCCGAGCACTCTATTTCTTTGCTCCCGGGCACTTTCCACCACTCGTTTGGGAGATCAAACAGGATGAGACTCGTCGACGAGATGGAGAGGATGGAAAGGGTAGTGGGCGAGTGGGAACGGGGAAAAAATGTAAAAAAGCCAATGGGGAATGGCGGACAAAAAATATTACTTTTTGCACGGGTCTCTGCTGGCTGCTCTGGCGATGGTGCACCTGGCTACGATTAATTGGCGGCGCTCTCTTGCCCGGCTATTCCGGATAGAAAAGGGCTGAGGCTCAACTCAGTTATATAAGGGGTGGAATTTTAATAGAAAAAAAGGGACCCTCCTCCCCTTCCCCTCATTCCAATCCAGTCGAACAACCGAATGCTAACGCCAGCGCGAGAGACCTCTGGTAAAAATTAAAAATAAAAATTTAAAAACCGGCATAGGCGACAAAAAATTTCCGATCCACTAAATTACCGTATAGCAATCTCGAGTGTGTGATTTGATTTTAATCGCGTACATTATTTAACTTTAACCTTTTTTTTCGTCATGTATTATTCATATTCATCCATTCAGCCTTTACGTTTTTTACCTTTCCGCTTTTAATAACGTTGTAAATAAAAATAAATGGCTGGCTTTGTAAATGTTAATTTTAAATTGGGCTCGCGATCAGACTGATGAGATTGTTGTAAAACACGTTTAAAAAAAAAAAAAAAATAATAATAATAATAATAATAAATGAGTTTATATAATACCTCCGTTGCTTTTGAGATCATCCGGTTGGCCCCGATGATGTTCTGGTTTTCCAAGTATGGCAAGTGAATGAGCTGAATTACTACTAGCCGTCGTAGCAACACCCGGCGTAAGCCCAAGGCCAAGAAGCGCCGCGGAAGCGGATGTAGGGACCTGAAGTCCACCAGGTTGACCTAAACCAGGAAGTCCAGGTAGTCCGGGATGAGGCCCCATCGCACTTCCAGGCGGTAGTTGCTGGGCGTGCATCTGCTGTAACAGCCTGGGTATGTCTGGCCTCTGTTGCTGTAAAACCAAAAACCAAAAGTTTAATTTATAATTTAATTACATATTAGGGAAACTAAATAAGCCAGCCCCTATATCTTCCAGCGTGGTAGTCTAAAGACTTAACAGGATTAGCAGTTTTCTAAACATAAATCACTCAAGAGCTTTCACCCATCACAACCAGCCACTCAATATAAAAATAGTTGGAAGGTCATTAAAATGAAACGTCCAATATATCTGAATGGGATTAGGGATTAGGGTATTAGTCATCCCAATCAGGAGAAAAAAGCCCCAACACACTGGTTCAATATAGTCCAATGGAGTCGGAGTTACAGAATATCAAATGGGGATCGACTAATAAGGCTCAGGGACTCCCCCGTCGGTCCTTCTCGAGGGGGCGTCCGATTAAACGCAACAGTGTGTTCCGTCGATGTCTAGCACGTGGACAATTTGCACTCGGATAGTGGCAACCGCAGTGTCGTAGATAACCTGACATGATGTTTGAGCCAGGAACCTTCCCTCGACTCCAGTCTATACCCTATTGCCTATTGAGTAGTCTTGCGCTTGACAAACACACACCAAGAGAGCGACTAATACCCTGGATGAAAGGGTCGGGGTTTCCCTGCATTTACAGGGCATGTATGTATATTAATCCCCCAGCCAGGGACCCATCGTACTCATTTACCATTCAATAAAGGACGTGAATGGGGATGTAGATCGCCAGATACAGATATAATATCGAGGGGCGATCTGGGTATCTGAGGCTCCAGAGACCCACCACTGAGCGACGGTAGCTAAAAACAGCAAAGTAACTATAGCTGGGGATGGTTTGACCACCCTGAGCTCTGCCAGGAAACTCGATAAACTCGTTACGGGCGCGAATCCTGCTTATCGTGGATTTCACTTAGGCATTTAGTGGAAGATCTCCCTCGGTTCTGCAACGAAATATAGCCTACTATTCTTGGATCCCCCTTTTGGCCTCGAACTTCTGCCAAGGAAGAATTGGTTATGAGTCGAGGGAAGAAATAAGGGGTCGAGTAGTTTTTGGTCTTATATATTGCTGTAAGCCGCCGGTGGTAGTCAATGGTACTACTCGTTAGGGTGAAAACAAATCCCGAAATCTCCCTAAATTTTATCCCTCGGGTTGTTATATATGTGTGATGGCGATTGTGATAGTTATTTTGGCGATACAGCCAAGGGTTGGTGGCCACACCGGAAGCCTGGCTGAACCCTCGTTGATCTCCACAGGAGATGTTTCTCTCGCCAGGACAATAATGCTCGCCAAGGGTAGAAAACGCCCTTAGCTCTTAGATATATGTATGTAGAATGAACCCCGAGGCGAATTCAGTAATTCGTTCTGGCATTAACTTCTGGCGAGGATTCCGAGTCCATTAAGCCTATTGCTCTGCAAAATGCACTGACGCTACAAGAACAAATTAATTTCGAGGATTGTATCCGCTTGAGAAAGGCGTGTAAGCTCTTCTTTATCTTTTTTTGTTCTTTGTTTTTGCGAACTAACAGACAAGGGATTTGTTTGTCTGTTGGTTAGTTCTGCAAATATTGTGTCACCAATTTAGGTATTACTTTGCTTTCAGTTATCAATAATTGGTATTTTTACTCGCCAATTTTTTCACTCTTATCAAATAATCTTTATTTTTTATTTTTCCAAACAAAAAAGAGGGTTTTACAGCAAACTACTGGAAAGTTGTGATAAACTGAATAATGATGATAAATATTTGATCCGATGAATATTGCCATTTATCTCGGTATAAATCTAAATCCCGGATAATTAATGTCTGTACCAAAACTACATAATAACAGAATTAATTATTAATAAATCAGAAACACTCAAAACCAAGTAAATCAAGCTATCATCGAATCCAGAGACGATATCTCAGAGTTAGCATAACCCAAATAAATCCAAGAATGATACCAGCTGTTGAGTTATCTGAGAGTAAAATCCCACACCAAATAAATCACTCATCATGAAAGTGTAGTATTTATTATATTATATTATATTATATTCCCCTTCCGAATTTCTACCCCTCGAAACCTTTTCATCAAAAACCCAGCCACTGTGTATGTATATAATATAATACTTTTAAATATAAAAGCTACCCTCTTTTCCACTCATGCCGATGTCACAATCAGCAAAAATTAATCCCCCAAAAACGTGTCTCTTCCACTCAGTGGTAACTCCATATATATATAATAGGGACTGATGTGATGGGGATTGTATCGTGCGCACCAAACGGAACGTAATAGTCCCAAACGAGGTTTAACGCGCCGTGAATAATCTGGCGCATCGGTGGTGAAAGCGTGCCGCGGGGTAAACTTATATTATACATCCAACACAATACAATCCAATTCATGGATAGATAGATACAGCCAACTGCCTAAATTTAAGTTTGAGGGTACAAAGTTATCTAACCTGTGAAGGAGCCCTTCGCCAATAAAAGTGGCTCCCCTTTTTAGATGATGCATGGCTTGGATGAAGCTGCTGATGACTAGTGTACCGTGTGTTTTGCAGATCTTGCCGATGAAGGACCGGGTGATCCAGGGGGTAGGCAACTAAACTAAACTCAACTAAACTCCGGCAACCCTCTGTGTATACCCACACCCTTCTTCGGCTTGGGAGTTCAAACCGGGCTGATGTGCAGTGTTATTAAACGAAATATTGATTCAACCCCTGTTTACCGAGTAATACATATTCATGGAGTTGGCGCTTCGGTCTGTTTGCTTCACCCTACTCTACTTCACCAGCATCAACCCCGTCAACTACTTGTCCTTTCGCTCTCTCCGGTGTGCAAGCGGCGTTTACCCCTTAGGACATACACAGCTATCACACGGCTTCTCTCACCCTGCACCCCTTTAAATTTAAACTCTCGAGGATGAACAGAGCCAGCTCTGTTCCGGCTTTTCGTGCAACCGAGCAACGCCTCGTGGCAGTTCTACACGTGTACAGACGTGTCGCTGTTGCCACTATTGAGTACATCCACTTCTGCAATTAGACGAGTTTTAGTCGGCGCATGGGCTTGCTCTCTGCTCTGATTACTCATTTCTGCCAATCTCATGCGGTTTATATCACTGTCTCTCATCTGTCAGGTTGCTAAGTCTTTGTAAGCTGGTTACTCCGGAACATGAATCGTTAGCTCGAGTAATTTCGTATGTTGCCGAAAGAAAAACTAAACCTCATGGTATAATTTATTTGGATGGTAGACATTGTTTTGATAAATTCTGCATAATACTCCTAGTTGTGCAGAGTTGACCCGAGTCAAATGACTCCGGTTAATAATTCAAAGTATTTCTGGGTGATTATTAGCATTGTTAAAGTTGTCAACGTTTGTACATAATATATAGAGATATGTGTTTGTTATTCCCGAGCGATTTAGTTGGATCACCATCACGGATTGTATGTTGTAAGCGGCTGGTATTTGTTTTGCCAGTTGAGAGCATGGGAGAAAAAGAGAGAACTGTGCAGGGGCACAAGTTTAAATTTCCCAAGCGACGAGATAGAGAGCGAAAACACGAATTGGATTCCGGATGGTTGTTGTTATTCGTCCTCGGTTGTTCGCTATTTCATACATACAACCGTATAACGCCATTCTCTACGCTGAGTTCTACCTGTACTGCGGCGTGGGTGGTTATGTTTAGTTCAGTGGGCGAGAGTAGTGCGGTTGAAAGAGCCAATTTTCATAGGATATGGCGTTAATTTTGCTTCCTTGTTTTACTCTACTCTTTTTTATTCATTTACTATCTTTATCAACAAATTTTCATGCATTCATTCATTTCATACTAATCATATTGTAATTAAATATTTTAACTAAAAATATGATGGTTTTAATTTTCATTTTTATATATTTTATAGAAAATGGGTATCAATTATTTGATTAAACTAAAAAAAATACAAATAAGATCTTTGGAAAAACGAAAGATATGATTTTTATTTTAAAACTTAAGTTTTCAAAATCAACTCTCTTATATTGAGAAGATTCAGCGAGCATACGCCACCTGTCGGAAGTTCTCAGCACTACTTATTATCAAAAAACCATATTTGAGCATATTAGACCACTTTTTATATCATAACATATTAAAAATGATATATAAACGCTTTAGACATTATCAGAAAATTTTTTCATAAAAATTTGACTCAAAAAACAAAAACTTAAAAGGAATTCTTGAGGTAATAATTGTTTATTCTGTAGGAACAAGGTGTCTGTTAATGCTGGTTCAGTGTAAAGATAAAACGGAGTGGGATTATATCGAAAAGTAAGAAGTGGTTTAGGTTGTCTCACGTTAAAGGTGACACTGACGGAAATCCCTGGTGCCGTCATCTAATGTGTCTAGCACTCGAAGTTCCCAACGAGCGTTAAGGCATCATTTAACAGAATTGTCAACTGATAGCTAGCTGTGCATGTACCTTCTATTCGCAAGTAGCAGGATAAGTGAAATGAGAAGCGACAAACTAGAAACGAGGACGAGGAATGTTACCAGAAGCTAGATACAGATACAGATGACTCGGTAGCGTCAGAATAACTGGTACAGAATAGAGTGAGCTTGAAATAGAAAGAGACAGAGGGAATGGAAACTCGGGAAATTATTCACGTCTAGCAACACAGCCATCCAACTACAGCAGTAGCGAGTAGCGACAGTACCGAGTACCAACTCGGAACTCAATTATACGGGACCACGGTTGAATGCCAATTTCAACGCTTATCGGTGTAATACACACTACGAAATAAGTCTGGCCGCGTTGGGTGTCGAATAACGTGCGCTACTGAATTTCAATGCATGCCCGATAGCACATCATCCATGTCCTCCCTCATTCTCTCGCTCGCTCCCACTTTATATGCAGATATTATTCTATCTACGGTGGAAACAACATCAACCCCTACCACCCACCCCCGCTTTCTCTTTCAAGCTCAAATATGTATTATTATTATCATCATCATAATCATTGTTATTATTATTACTCGCGTCTTTCTCTCTTTCGCCGGTTCGTGAATCGATTAACAATTATTACTGTCCGCGGATGTGGCGGGTGCGTGTCGGGAAACACAATTAAACCCGTTCAATTACGCTCTTTGACGCTTAGTAACTATTATAATTCAAGCTTCTGCTAAATATGCTCTTCTATTCCACTTAATTTATTAACAATGACTACCAATAATTATTATCTTTAATCTAAAATCCAAAAGACGAAAAAATGTCGACGTATAATTTTTTTTGTCATGAAAATGACAGACAAATTGGCTATATTAAGCCAGATGCAATTATTGTATCAAAATAGTGTCAAAAGTTTCCGACAGATGGCGCATGTTCGCTGATTCGTCTCGCTTCAAGAGAGTTAATTTTTAAAATACAAATAATTTTTTTTTTACTTTTTTCAGGATCTTATTTGTCATTATTTTATATCAAGCTTAATCAACACTTAGACTAATTTTTTTCTTACAAGGCCTAATAATTGGCGTACCTATTTTCTAGAAAATATACAAAATTAAAATTTTATTTTTTACTCTTTTATTAAGCTTGATATGGAAGTTGACTATTTTATAAAATTTTTTTACGGAAAAAAAAATAAATAAAGATACATTACCCCGACAATAGCGTTGAGATCAGTCATCGAAACCTGCCTGGCTCTGTCGACGGCAGTGAGTACCTGTTGTTGGTGTTCCTGGGATAGAAACGGCAGGACTTGAGCAATTATTCCATTCAGTCTCTTAGATATTTCCGTCTGAAAAAAATAACAGATATCTCTAAATTACACATCCCGTAAAATTTATCACGTAAAACAAAGAACACAATATGTATGTAATATATAAGATACAAGAAGACCCGCAATGAATGGAAGAGCGAATAGAGGAGGAGCACGGGAAGGTCAATCGGTAATCGCGGCTCATTTAGCTTGTAAACACGAGTCTCTCGCGTGGGCTAAACTCTCCAGCGGTAAACGAGAATTATTTATATCTCAACATTTATTTACACCCGGTGACTATACGCCGCTTGCCATATTTTTTCATTCTCACACGTTACTCCTGAAAGCGTAATATTTTCAGTCGTTGGCTTCTTTTTTTTTCAGGTTTTATATATTCCACAAACTTATTATTTTTTATTTTCTATACCCTCACTAAACTAACGCCTTATGTTTTTTAAAAGACTCTTGTCACTTACATTATCTCTCTTACATTATTTTCTCTTGTTACTGTACGCCAGCTCATATATGTACAACAAAAACTATATAATGACTTTTATGCTCAGCAGGAGATCTAGCGACGCGTGAGGTGTTTTAAAACCTCTCGTTAAATAATCACATCAGCCTTTACAGTATTTATATTTATATTTATGGATATTTAAAGCTCCTACACTAAAATTATAATAAAACTCGAATTACTTTTTTTGATCCAATTTTTAAAAATAATTTTCTTGGTTCAAAATTTATGCTTTTTTATATTTAAAAAAAAAAAAAGTAAAAAGATTGCCAATTAAAAGTTAAAAAATGATAATAATAAAGTTAAAACAAATAATCGATATTATTGTAATTAATATAATTGTATAAAGTTAAAGTTTGTTTCTATTACAACATATTTGATGTACAAGCACCGACAAGAATAAAATATCATGATATGTATCATATAATATATTATGTGTATAGACAAAGTTTAGTATAGATAAAGTTTTACGATATTTAAAGTAACTGCAAGGTCTTGGGGGTTATCAAACGACAAACCAAACATTTACACGGTTTAATACCTCTAATCCATCTGGTGTTTTAATTACACGGCAGATGAGTATACATATAATGAATTAATAATAATACTACGCATTATAAATTCTCACCTCATTTAGCAGATCTATCCAACAAACTCGTTACCATTAAACCTCATCAAACATAACGACGTTAATAAATTAATAAAATATATTTAATATAAAATATTGTTACGACACTTAAATTATAATCAAATTAATATTACACAATCTGACTGGAAACCCAATTAAATTAATCGCCATTTAACTATAAATAATTTACGTAATTGCTGGGGGTTATAAATTATTAGTAGTCGTTTCTCAACGAACAAAAATATTTGCTTTATCAAGTTTATCGAGGCTTGGAGTGACCTTGATAAGAGAATTTGCACGCGTAGAGATACCCAATAGGAAGTTAAGTCGACGTTACTGGACTAAGTTTAGAAATTTATTGTTTAAATTTGAATTTTTGGAAGGGGGTGAGGAAAGTCTGATGGCATTAGCGCACACCTGTTCGAGCCTGGTTGTAACTGCGAGGAGTAGAAGCGTTAATTCACAGGTGTAAGCGGGGCCATTGTTATTAATTGAGGAAAGCGGTTGCCGAGCTGCACCTCGTAAAAGTAATTACCCCGTTATCGTTTCCCGCAAGAGAATAACTGGGGAGTATTAACTATGAGCCACCGAACAATGAAAGGGATATCTCTATGCTAACCGAGGGGAAGAATATCCCCATTCAACGCTTTTTAATCTTCAGTATTAATTTCTTTATCTATTTAATTAATATTGATATTAAAAAATAAATTGTATACTTTTATTACTAACTCAGTTGATTTTTTTAAGTGAATTTATGATAAATAATTTTATATTATTCAGAGTATGAAAATATTAATAATGACCAATTACAGCAGTTAATAATTATTTAAATTAAAAAATTCGGTGGTCGAAACCTAGCCGGGAATCGAACCCGGTCCGTCCGGTTATAAGTCGGACGCTTTACTAGTTACGCTACCGAATTCCAGTCGAGGTTTTAAAATTCGGATTTTTTAATGAAAAAAAAATTTTTTTTTACACATTTTTCTACAAAATAAGATAATTAGAAGACCAAAAAATCATAAATATATAAAATGGACCCAGAAATTAAATATGTAAGTAAAAAAAAAGACTTACTGTTAATTTTTTATAAAATTTATCACTTTTATAATTTAAAAAAATTAGAAAAACGGTTCACCCTAAAGGCCATCCCTGCAACTTCCCGCTCATTTTGTACTTAAACGCTTCAAACTACACATTACGTTTTTGAAAAATATTATTTTTTGTGTCAATTTGAGCTCTTCGAGCTCAAAACTCTAATAGCAGTTTAAAGACACAATATTTTGAATTTTCAAACGGCAATAACTTTTGAATGAATGAACCGATTTTCACGCGGTTGGCGGTAATCGACGCAGTTTTTGAAGCTCCATGAAAAATTTTCAAGTTTAAATCGATCGAGCCATGAATTTCGAAGTTATTACAAAAAAACACTTTTTTCGATTTTTTTCGACAACGATATCTCACGAACGCATCAACCGATTCTGACGTTTTTGGTGGCGATCGATGGGGGTTTTCAAGGTTAAGAGCTGATTAGATTTTGAGACCGATCAGTTCAGCCAATTCGGAGATATTTAAAAAAAATAAAAAAAAACAACTTTTTTTTCACTTTTTTTGCATTTTCTCGAAATCTACCGGTCCGAATTGGTTCTAACTCTCAGGAAATCTAAGTTTGGTGAAGCCCTTTTGAATGACACCAACCGCGATGAAATCGGTCAAGTCGTTCAAAAGTTACAAGAGGGTTACACACACACACACACACACACACACACACACACACACACACACACACACACACACACACACACACACACACACACACACGGCAGGGAGAAGGACGAACTCGCTACCGGGCGCGTCCTCCCGAGCGGATGGGAGAACGCTCGCTGTCCTTGGATGACACTTGGATAATCTCCTAGTTGATGAGGTACAGCGGGTAGGAGCCAAGCAAAATAACCAAACAAAATACGCTCCCGTGGACAAAACTCCCCTTTAATGGGTTGGTCACACTAACTAACCTAACAAGACGATCGGTCCCTGCTGTAACTCACTGGGAGTGTCCAGAACCTGTATCGTAGTTTCCGACGATGCAGACCACGGCTGATGTGAGCTTGCTCTGCCGAGGTGTAAGATGCAGCAGTGGATCAGGAGCCAGTCACTTCGGGCCTTGACCAGGAAGTACGCAGTTAGTGTTAGAGATCGGAATCTTCACCGCCCCGAGCGAATCTAGTCCGTCCGTGTATTCCGGGACTAGCTAAGTGTCGGCTAGGCCTCAGGGAACCGGGGTAGGAGCACTATCTCCGAGGGTACACCCGTTCCTAGTTATAGCAACCCGCTCCACTCCGTACGATGCACTGGTAAACCAAAAAAGTATGAGTAATTTACAGGAAACAAACAAGAGCAGAAACGGGCTTCATGCCCAACAAGCAGCGATTGAAGCAAGCGCTGAAATGAAGAGAACAAAAGCACTGGAACGCCTTGAAAAGCTGACCATTGACTTGCAGGATTTCGTCCTATCCAAGGTCAATATTCACAAGGA